AAAACATATTCCACACTCGGTGTCACGTCCACGATCAGGTATGTAGCTTGATTATTGATAGTGGGAGTTGCACAAATGTGGCTAGCATAACTTTAGTTGAGAAATTAGGTTTAACATTATTAAGACACCCTAGGCCTTATAAGTTGCAGTGGTTGAATGAGATTGGGGAAGTTAGGGTAATTAAATGGGTGTTAATTAATTTCTCAATTAGGAGATATAGTGACAATGTTGTATGGGATGTGGTGCCTATGCAAGCGGGTCATATTCTATTGGGGAGACCCTGGCAATTTGATAGGAAGGTTACACATGATGGGAATAGGAACCGGTATAACTTTGTCAAGGATGGGAGGTCCATTACTCTTGCACCATTAACACCGGATCAGGTGTATGAAGACCAAATAAAATTGAGAAATGAGAAAGAAAGGCGAGCGAGAGAATCTACAAAAAGGAGAGAAGATAGTGAGCTTGTAAGTAGAGAGAAAATAGCGAGGTCGTCGAGAAGGGAGAGAAGAGAGAAAGGCCTCACGGGAGGAGAGAAAAAGAGTCAGTTGAGTGGAGAGAAAAAAGGGTCAGTTGAGCAAAGAGAAAGCGAGTCAGCTGAACGGAGAGAAAAGCCAAAACTGAACTTCTTTACGAGGGAGAGTGAATTAAAAAAGGCTTTGAAGAGACAAGTGTTGTTGTTAGTTTACAAGGAATCTCTCATCTCCCTTGAGGAGTCTAACACCTCCCTCCCTAGCGTGATTAAGTCTTTGTTACAGGATTTCAAAGATATGTTTCCGAAGGAAGTGCCAAGTGGATTGCCACCAGTTCGAGGGATCGAGCACCAAATCGACTTCATACTCAGGGCTGTCATTCCAAATCGACCAGCTTACCGAAGCAATCCCAAGGAGACGAAGGAGCTTCAGAGACAAGTGGAAGAGTCGATAAGCAAAGGTTACGTGAGGGAGAGCATGAGCCCGTGTGCTGTGCCTATTCTATTGGTGCTAAAGAAGGATGAGACTTGGCGAATGTGCGTGGACTATAGAGCTATCAACAACATTACAGTAAAGTATCGTCACCCTATTCCTAGGCTAGATGATATACTTGATGAATTACATGGTGCTTGTGTTTTTAGTAAAATTGAT